ACCACTCTCTGGCTTCTTCCCACCAGCCAGAGAGTGGTGGTCAATGGAGAAGAAGAAGAAGTCTTCACAAATGGTGATATTTGCTGAGAGCATATTATTTCCTCAGTATTTTTGCCCCAGGGCTGCAGGGAGTCCATTCTTTGTCCTCTTAAAATACAAATTCTGAGTTCATTTCTGTGTGTACGACAGTTTAACTGCTTAGTTTCATCTGGACTCTGTATGTGAGAGGGAAATTACTGATCCTGACCCTTTTCTAACTTCATCCTCCTCCATTAAGAATAGGGGAAGGGAATGCAGTCAGTAACTCTGTACCCATCTATAGCCAAGCCAGAAGAGCAGTCATGATCTGTGGGTTGAGAATCATGGTATGAACTGACCTTTCTAAGAGAGCTTACTCATTGCCTGCTTTTCTATTTCAGGCTATTTCTGTACCAGTAAATGAAATAATAACAATCCAATAACAAATAATAATAAATACCAGTAGAGTGGTATCCTGTTAGGCTGTCCCCAGTATAATCTCATCCCTGCTATGCTTTCAAGCAATCCCCAGGAGCAGTTCAGGAGTTAGAATGCTCCAGGAACCATTCCCAATAGGTGAGTTACATGCAGCCAACGTGTCCTGGAGGCTGAGAGAGTTTAGATGCAGCTTGTTCCTTGCCAGTTGGCCTCAGTACCCAGGAATATTCCCAAACATGTATAATATATCGGTATATATGTGGCTGTTGAGAACATGTGGGCCAGCTCTGCTGGAACTGGATGCCTGGTAAAGTCAGTTGACATGAAATGAAGAGCTGGTTCTCATGTTAGTATTGGTTGGTTGATGGAAAACATGAAATGAGCCTCATGGGTCTACATGTCAAGGCCACTAGTCTATTTATCATTATTTATCATTAACTGGCATCCTCCAGACCAGAAAATAGTGAGTCTGGAAGTGTGAACCTGCCTTGGGAGTCTTCGGGGTGAACTCACATGCCTGTTGGAGATGTTTGCATAGGTGCTTCCTGGGCTGGATGTTTTCATGGGCCACTTCCCAAGGCCAAAAAGGGAAGAAATCCATTGATTTCAGAGGTTGTTTTGAGTGGCTGATGTGTGTACACAAGGAATACCCAAGAGTTTGTTGATGCATCTGAGGTAAGCAAAAAATTCTCTTTATAAACAAACAGATTGTCCTCTCTCTGTGGGAAAAGTTCTCCTCCTGAAAGATGGACTGAAGCTGCCACTCTGGCACATATCCTCGTAGTAGAACTAATACTCCTGCAGCCTGCTGCTCTGCAAGGAATGAACTTGCAGTGTTCTGTCAACATTCATCTCAGCCCATCTGTAACCTCTAGTTACCTCTTACCTTCAGAACTCACAGCAGCATTAACACCTTAGATGACTTTCCTAGGCGTTCCTGGAGAGCCAAGGAATTGAACTGAACCCTGCAGAGAAAATGGTTCTCGATCCTTACACAGAACTGCGCCGGATGCCTACGCTCAAGTACGAGGCACCATCAGATATCGACCCACTCAAACAGTTTCTGACTTACGACAAGCAGGTGAGAGAGCTGGTAGTGAGGACCCACCTTACAGACTATATGTGTTCTTGAAACCTGAGTTTTGTGAGTGTCTACAACCTTACTCGTTCTAAAAAAAATCTCAGCCCACTGAACAGGCTCCAGTTTTGCTCCTTTCTTGGCTTTAGTAAGAAACTAAATCTTATTTTACTGGGCTTTGTGCCTTATGAACGGCTTCTCTTTGGATTGCAGAGCCTGTGCTCTAGATCCTCCACCTCTCTTGCTTTCTGTCGGGGTGAGATAAGCCACCTGCCTCAGGAAGTTAGCAGATAGGGCCAGATCCAGTTCTAATATGAATGGGCACACTACATCCACTCCTCTCTTCCTCCAAAACATTGCTGCCAGGTGCCAGAATGGACAATTTCAGACAAACACAAATGCCACTTGCTCTGACTGAGTTCTCCCTGTGCATACAGTTGACACTCTCCTCCTCACTCTTCTGGATCTTCTTTTCATCTAGCAACAGTGTAAGAAACCCTATAGGCTACATCTATACTAGAAAATAAAACAGGGCCAGGACATGACCTGAGATCTGAATATTGTCCCTGGCCAGCTATCAATCAAACAGTTCCTGGCCATCAGATAGGTGTTAGCACAGGACAGGATCATATCCAGATGCCATTTTGGATATGGTCACCTTGTTTTGAAGGGAGCAGACAATTTTGCTGTGTGGATGCAAGCTGGGCCATGTCTGCCATTTTATTGCCAGTTTAGCCTTAGGGACTCAAGTCTGTGCTGGGCCAACTCTGCCTGCAACAGCTATTGGGCTGCCTGTTTAGGAGCTGCACCTTGGGGAACTCTTGAGCATTGCAGTGTGAAGAGTTTGATTTCTCTGGCATGAAAAGTTGATATTTCCATTAAGCAGCTATAAGATGGGGTCTGCAGTGAAGGCAGCCTCCTCAGGACTGCCGAGTGCCTTCCCCTCTGCCTTCCTCACAGAATCCCAGAATTGCCTCAATTGGAAAAGACCTTTAAGATCATTGAGTCCAATCATGAACCCAACACTGACAAGTCCCCGAATAACCCATGTCCCTCAGCACTATGTCTACACGACTCTTCAATCCCTCCAGGGATGGGGACTCCACCACTGCCCTGGCCAACCCCTTCCAATGCCTCAGAACCCTTTCAGCAAAGAAATTCTTCCTCACATCCCATCTCAACTGCCCTTGGCGCAACTTGAGACCACTTCCTCTTATCCTCAGCATGAGAGTGGTAAAGAATTGGCCATGAAACCTCAAAGAGGTTTAAGAGTCAAAACAAGATTGTGTCTTGCTGTGTTAAGTTTCATTATAAAAATCACTTCCCTTACGGCTACTTCCCTACTCATTCCTGGGCAATTATTATAGAATCACAGAATGATAGAATGGTTTGGATTGGAAGGGACCTTAAAGCTCATCCAGTTCCAACCCCCCTGCCAGCAGCAGGGACACCTTCCACTAGACCAGGTTGCTCAAAGCCTCATCCAACCTGGCCACAAACACTTCCAGGGAGG